CACGGCGAGGAATTGTGCCTTTTTATTGAAAATGTGATACATGCAAGTACATGGGTGAGGGGCTATGTGTTCTAATTATCACTTCAAAAGGGATCATAGGTTCCATTCAGGGTTGGATTAAGGGTGGGTCTATTGTGGTAGGTGGGTCTTCATGGAATGCAGTTTCGGGAAAGCAGCTCCAGCAAGCAGAGATAATTATCAGCTGATGTGGTGGCAGCCATCTTGTGATTACTAAGCACGATGCTGAGAAAAGAAAATCTCAAGTATAGATATTAGTTCTTATGGTCTCAATAAAGACTGATACTTACATAGTTTTATAGGGATCTAAAACTTAATTTAAGGAATCCTTATATATTTATCTATTTCACTTGGTGAGGGTGGGGGTGTCCTGGGCCAGTTTTGGCCTAATCTTATTTTATGTAAAGAAAAGATTATCTTTAAACTTATGTTAAATGTATCTTGAAGGGCCTTCCAAAGGTCAAGATTATTTCTGTCTAGATAGAACTTCAGCACACCCTCTATTGTGACCACGGAGATAAAGCATTGTAATTAACACTAAGTGATCAGGGCTGAGGGGAGTGGTCGGGGGACTTTTGGGAAATCTTACCACATACTCAAGAGAGCTATGTAATTTTTTTTATAGTACTATATCAGGGAATCAGAGGGGGGTCACTTCCCAGCAAGACTACCACAGTCTCTGGAGCGTACAACAAGCGGCCTTGCCAAACATGTTGAGTGGACCCAAGCTTTGCTCATAGGTCGGGGGGGCGTACAGCAGTGGCCTTGCCAACGTGCTGAATTGACCAGAAGCCGTGCTCAAAGGTCAAGAGCTCAAAACAGATCCTGGGGCCCTACCGGGTCGGACTCCTCCATACAACACTGTTCTAAGCATGGCAGAATTAAACAAACATCAAACTACATTGCCAGTAATAAACTCATTCCAGTCTCTAATTTAAAGGCAAGAACTGTGGTGATCATAAACCACGGCCAACTCAAGGACACTGATTATGCAGTAATAGGATTGGTGAAGTGTCCTTCCGAAAAAAACAAGAGGTTCTGGTTCTTCACACGCACACTGATATAGGGGGGATGTGGGCGGGCCTGTCAGCCAGACTCCCCCAGAGCACGCCGGGTGTGAGTGCAGTGCACCATGGGATACGCTCACTTATGGGGGATGCCCAACGTCATCCACCCTCTCTAACTCCAGGCCACCCTTGGGCATGGGAAAACAGGTATGGCCCATTGCGTTCTGGCAGGGCCCTGGGACAACACTGAATCACAGGGTTAGATGACGTTTTCCTGGCACACCTAAGTGGGTTTATACCTTTGTTGGCACCCAGTCCGCAGAATGTGAGGAGTAACTGCTGTCTCCACTGCCAGCAGTCCAGTCTGCATCCCAATATTCATCTGTAGTACCTTTAGTACCTTTCCCCCCCACAAGGCTTTTGCCGTAAGGGCACATGTGTTCCCCTGATAGAGACAAAAAGGGAAAGTAAGAAATCAACACGCTGGGAGGGATGGCCAAGCCACAATCCCCTAGCCTCTACTCCTTTTAGGACTTTGGGATGCACACGTGGGCCCAGTGTGATTTTCAAGCTGCTAGATACAGACCTTGAACCGTGACGGGCTGTGAGAGTCCAGTGCCTTAACCACCACACCACCCACCCCATATGTATCTCCTTTTTTTTGAGAGAGATTTTTGCCATAGGACATGTGTGCATTCGCTAGAGAGACAGAAAGCAAGAAATCACTCCCTGGGGGGATGGCCACACCACAATCCCTTCTCCATTTTCCTCTTGGGATTTTTTTTTTTTTTTTTTTTTTGGAGAGATTTTCACTGTAGGGTGCGTGCGCTCACCAGACAGACAGAGACATAGAGACAGAAAGCGAGAAATCACCCCCCAGGGCGGATGGTCACGCCGCAATCCCTTCTCCTCCATTCTCCTCTCGGGATCTTGGGCACGCACGCACACGCGCCCGGTGTGAGTTTTAAGCCACTGGGTCCGGGACACAAACCGCGGTTGACTACGTGGGAGTCCAGCGACATAGCCATTACGCTAACTGCTGGTTCCCCCTCTTGGGATTTTGAGCAAGCATGCACGTGCACCAAGCGTGAGGTTTTTGGTTTTGTTTGTGTGCGTGTGTGTGTGTGTGTGTATGCACTCACCAGAGAGACAAAAAGCGAGAATCACCCCCTGGGGAGGAAGGATGGCCACGTCCCAACCCCTTCTCCATTCCCCTCCCGGGGACGCACATGCCTGGTGTGAGTTTTAAGCCACCGGGACAGGGTCTCAAGCTACGGTCAACTACATTGGAGTCCAGTGATGTAACCGTTATGCCATCTGCTCATCTTCTTAATGAGATGGTAATACGGCTCTAACAGGACAGATCGCAGAACATAAAATGGTGTTCCTGGAGTGTAGCTGGGGACCCTCGGTTCCTTGTATCATTTTATAAAGATTAATTAAGAGAACATCCATAGCGATAGTTAATAAAACCTGGTCCTGGGACCCTGTTTCGTACTGCCTCAATAAAAAATATTAGTATCGGGGCCAGCAGGTGGCGTGGGTCTGTATGTTGGACTCTCATGGACAACTGCAGTTCAAGTCCTGGGCCTGGCAGTTTGCTTTCTCTCGCTCGCTCACTCGCTCTCTCTCTCTCCCTCCCTCTCTGGTCAAATTAAAATAAGTAAATAAATAAATAAAGTAATTCTTTAAAAAATGATTAGTATCTCCAATTCCAGATTTGTATTTACAAGAAAACCTGACTCCTGGGAGAACTGTTGGCTTCTCTGTTGATGTCCACAAATACATTCTTTCTCTGGGCTTCCCACTCTTCTGCCCCACTGACTGGGACTCTTCAAACAGCCTACCCTGGGGGACGAACACTAGTTGCCACATGTGGAAGCGAGTATGACGTAGCTTAGCAACCACAGGCTCTTGCTAGATGAAGTTCCAAAATGGCAGCGGGACCAGGAGGTAGCACGGTGCTCAAAGCACTGGACTCCCACATGGCGGGCTACGGTTTGGGTCCCAGACCCAGAGGCTTGGAAATCATGCTGGATGTGTGTACATTCATGCCTGAAATCCCAAGAGGGGAATGGAGGACAAGGGATTGCAGCGTGCCTATCCCCCATCAGGGGTGATTTCTCACTTTCTGTCTCTCTCTAGCAAGCACATACGCCCTATGACAAAAACCTAAAAATAAAATTAAAATTTTTTTTGTTGTTATTTTGGTTTGGTTTTGGTTTGGTTTTTGGGGGGTGTTTTTGTTTTTGTCTGTTTTTGTTGTTGTTTTGAGAGGTTTTTGCTATAGGGCACTTGGCTTGCCAGGCAGAAACAGAGAGACAGAAAGCGGGAAATCACCCTCCAGGAGGATGGCCACGCCGCAATCCCTTCTCCTCCATTCTCCTCTTGGAATTTTGGGAACACACGCACCCGCGCCTGGTGTGAGTTTAAGCCACTGGGTCTGGGACTCGAACCGTGGTTGACTACGTGGGAGTCCAGCAACATAGCCATTACGCTAATTGCTGGTCCCATGTTTTTGTTTTTTTTCCTTAAGAAACTGGATGGCACCAGGCATAAGTAACCCTCTTTTTCTCTCTGTCCAGGTTACCCTTTGGCTTTGTTTTATCGACATTACCTTTTCTACAAGGACAGCTACCTCATCCATCTCTTCCACACCTTCACAGGCCTCTCAATCGCTTATTTTAACTTCGGTGAGTGAACGAAGTCGGCTGCGACTCTGTGGTTAGAGGGATCTTGGGAACGTACAACTAAAACAGCTCCATGGGAGAATTTGATGGATGGGGAGGTTAGACAGCCGAGCTTGCAAGAGGGCCGCGTGAGCAGGAGCACAGGGGAGCTTTGCCTGGGGGCCTTCCGTACATTCCTCTGTCTGATGTACACATTCTCAGGGGGGTTACCCATGCTACATGCGTGTAGCAGGAAGCTTTGGTGTCCCTCTGCTTTGGCCAGAATTGAAGGACAGGTCGAAGCGGCCCCCCCTCATGGTCATTCCTCTCTTCAGGAAATGCAGTAACACCCAGCTAGGCCCCTATGTTGAGACAATTCATTTCCATCTTTCCCTCCAAAACAAGATGTTATTCTGGGAAAAGGTCCTAAGAGCTCAGCGTCTGTGTTTCTTTGGGGTCAGCAGGCTCAGGACGGGTGGGTGTGAGCCAGTGGCTCAGTCTTGCTCTCCGCTCCGCACAGGGAACCAGCTCTACCACTCCCTACTATGCGTCCTGCTCCAGTTCCTCATCCTGCGACTGATGGGCCGCACTGTCACTGCCGTCCTCACTACCTTCTGCTTCCAGATGGTAAACGACCCCCCTCTGCAGCTCGGGTCTGTGTGGCGGCGGGGGCTGCAGCATAGCAAGAGCAGTGGACGAGGGGACAGCTCTCACGTCTCCCAGCACTCATCAGGGTAACTCGGGGCAGGGTGCTTGTCATGGGCCCGTCTCACCTGCACACGGGAGGGCTGCCAGCCGGTCCTCGGCGGGAAAAATTAAAATTTTTTTTGTTGTTATTTTGGTTTGGTTTTGGTTTGGTTTTTGGGGGGTGTTTTTGTTTTTGTCTGTTTTTGTTGTTGTTTTGAGAGGTTTTTGCTATAGGGCACTTGGCTTGCCAGGCAGAAACAGAGAGACAGAAAGCGGGAAATCACCCTCCAGGAGGATGGCCACGCCGCAATCCCTTCTCCTCCATTCTCCTCTTGGAATTTTGGGAACACACGCACCCGCGCCTGGTGTGAGTTTAAGCCACTGGGTCTGGGACTCGAACCGTGGTTGACTACGTGGGAGTCCAGCAACATAGCCATTACGCTAATTGCTGGTCCCATGTTTTTGTTTTTTTTCCTTAAGAAACTGGATGGCACCAGGCATAAGTAACCCTCTTTTTCTCTCTGTCCAGGTTACCCTTTGGCTTTGTTTTATCGACATTACCTTTTCTACAAGGACAGCTACCTCATCCATCTCTTCCACACCTTCACAGGCCTCTCAATCGCTTATTTTAACTTCGGTGAGTGAACGAAGTCGGCTGCGACTCTGTGGTTAGAGGGATCTTGGGAACGTACAACTAAAACAGCTCCATGGGAGAATTTGATGGATGGGGAGGTTAGACAGCCGAGCTTGCAAGAGGGCCGCGTGAGCAGGAGCACAGGGGAGCTTTGCCTGGGGGCCTTCCGTACATTCCTCTGTCTGATGTACACATTCTCAGGGGGGTTACCCATGCTACATGCGTGTAGCAGGAAGCTTTGGTGTCCCTCTGCTTTGGCCAGAATTGAAGGACAGGTCGAAGCGGCCCCCCCTCATGGTCATTCCTCTCTTCAGGAAATGCAGTAACACCCAGCTAGGCCCCTATGTTGAGACAATTCATTTCCATCTTTCCCTCCAAAACAAGATGTTATTCTGGGAAAAGGTCCTAAGAGCTCAGCGTCTGTGTTTCTTTGGGGTCAGCAGGCTCAGGACGGGTGGGTGTGAGCCAGTGGCTCAGTCTTGCTCTCCGCTCCGCACAGGGAACCAGCTCTACCACTCCCTACTATGCGTCCTGCTCCAGTTCCTCATCCTGCGACTGATGGGCCGCACTGTCACTGCCGTCCTCACTACCTTCTGCTTCCAGATGGTAAACGACCCCCCTCTGCAGCTCGGGTCTGTGTGGCGGCGGGGGCTGCAGCATAGCAAGAGCAGTGGACGAGGGGACAGCTCTCACGTCTCCCAGCACTCATCAGGGTAACTCGGGGCAGGGTGCTTGTCATGGGCCCGTCTCACCTGCACACGGGAGGGCTGCCAGCCGGTCCTCGGCGTGAGCCTGTGCTGTTGGAGTCACTGAGAGGCAAGGCCGAGAACCAGCTCAGAATGGGCTGAAAAGCCAGGCGTCTACATTCAGTCCTCGGTCCATGTTGCTGAAAACCCTTGCGTGAGTCTCCCTGTTACGGGCTCAGTGTCTCCGTGTGTAGGAATTTGCCAAGCTTTTAATGATGGGACAAGGAGAAGGGAAAAAACGAAAGGCTGCATTCGATTTCAGAGCGGGGAGCAAATAAAGAATGAAATAGTCGTGATGACAGGAACGCACGTCCCCTCTCCTAGGCCTACCTTCTCGCGGGATACTATTACACCGCCACCGGCAACTACGATATCAAGTGGACAATGCCGCACTGTGTCCTGACGCTGAAGCTGATTGGTGAGTGGGGCCGCTGCCTTCTCCCCCACCCGACCCAAAGTGCTCTGGCCCGTCCACTCCCTGCTGCCCTCGGTGCTGAGGCCACCTCCTCGGAGTACCGCCTCCCCATGCTCTACCCACCCCTCTCTCTCTGCTCAGGTTTGGCTGTTGACTACTTTGATGGAGGGAAAGATCAGGTAAGTGTTTATTCTTCCACGGAAAGGTTAAGGCCGTAACCAGAGGGAAGGAGAAAGGCTGGACCCAAACGCCAGGGGCAGAGCCTCTCCCTCACGCCCCAGCCCGAGTGCGGCTCAGCAGACCTGCTCTGCCCGGATCCAGCTCTGCACGAAGTCCAGAGGGCAGTGCCAGTGCGGCGTGCACTGGCTCAGCACAAGCCCGCAGGTGCTGGCCACCCACACATACGCACCTCCACACGCAGCGGCTGGCGTCCACCCCCAGAGAGAAGCCAGCAGTGGGCACCAGGGTGGGAGCGCTCAGATGGCTCGTGGGGGAGATTCGAGGCTGTCCTGAACCATTCATTCTCTTCTCGGCATAGAATTCCTTGTCCTCTGAGCAGCAGAGATATGCCATACGGGGTGTCCCTTCCCTGCTGGAAGTTGCTGGTTTCTCCTACTTCTATGGGGCCTTCTTGGTAGGGCCCCAGTTCTCAATGAACCACTACATGAAGCTGGTGCAGGGACAGCTGACTGACATACCAGGGAAGATACCAAACAGGTAATTGCCCCTCTTGGTCACCTCTGCGGTGGCTCGCCCAACATGGTCACTCCAAGGTGGCTCCTGAAGGCCGGCCCTCACGGCCTTCTCCAGCAGGGCCTGGCACACAGGCCTGGCAGACAGGCCCCGGGCTGTCCCACGGGCACCCTGCGTGGCAGCGTAGGTCACTCGCAGCCAGCCACCCTGACCTGTAGCACAAACATGACAGTTCACATCGATGCCACAGGAGTTTGCCTGACCCAGTCACGTCCCTGCCTGAAAAACCCATTTTGTCATTAAAAAAAAAAAAAAGTTGTTAAGTAAATGTCTATGGCTATGTATCAGCACAGAATTTCAACACTGCCAGGAGAAGCCCTTCACCCAGAACTTGTCAGCCTGTGTTTCAGCATAGGAAGGAGCAGATTCAAAACAGTTACTGCTTTTATCTTACCTGCGCTGGGTTCGGGCCCGGTGGAGACAGAACCCTGGCAAGCCCTGGGCAGCAGCAACCCCGAGGGGTAAACAAGCCTCGGCGCCACTCCCGGCCGTCCTGACCTCTGTAACCCTTGGAGGTCCGCAGGCTCTGTCCTCAGAGCACCCACGCGGGGAAGGGCTTTCCCCGAAGCAGTGCAGACGGGGCAGCAGGGCTCCTCGTCCCGTTCCAGGTGGAGAACCGTGCTCTGATAAGCTCCTCTCCGTACCGAGGTGGGGGTGCAGGGGGTAGGCTGCCCTCAGTGACCCTGTGTTCCTTTCCAGCACCGTCCCTGCTCTCAAGCGCCTGAGTCTGGGCCTGGTCTACCTGGTGGGCTACACCCTGCTCAGCCCCCACATCACGGAAGACTACCTCCTCACCGAGGACTACGAAGTGAGTGGTAGGGACGCCACGGCAGAGCTAGACGGCGGACAGGCGAGGGGCCCCGCAGGCAGCAGAGACGTCGGTGGTCCCAGCTACAGACGCACGTTGGTTCCGCTCTGTACTGTGAGCGCTGGCGGCAGCGGGGG